ATTGTGTGCTTTGAAGGAAACTTGTTCAATTTGAAGTAGAATTTTGATAGATAAAAGGAGGAATTTACTTTAATAAAAGAGTAATTGTGAACCCTTTAGATCATTCGAAGAGTATTGGGTTAATTGAATTGAATAATACAAAAGCAGTGGTCTGCCCCACCATTTCACGCCACTATTGTACTCAATATACCTTTTGGCATGAAGGTGTCCTACTAGAGTATTCCGGGGGGATCTATGGTCAAAGGAAGTTGAGACATCAATTTATTTCCTAAAAGATATGGTCCTCCATCATGTCCTTGTCTAAGTCTGTCTTCGTCTTGTACCACTATGGCCACCATCAACTTATCAAAGATCAACCAAGTATTCAAATAGTCAAATTAATTTTGGTCAACATTTGATAATAATGGAAAAAAAAAAGGAGCTAATAATATTTAGGGATAGTACTAATACTATTGGTCCTCAACTTAATGCCTGAGTAACTATATAGTCTTCAATCTTTCAAAGCTCCCGTTTGGCCCCTTTTTTTGAGATTATAATTTTTGAAATAGTGTTTTTCTTTTAAGAATGTGTGGTTAAATTTTTTTTTTTTTAATTTACGTGTAATATTATTTTTTTTAAAGAATGTGTGGTTGATAAAAAGAAAATAAAAAATTGATTATAATTTTTAATAGAGATCAAACGAGCTTAAAATGAGCAAGGTGGTTATCAATCGTGTCTATAAATGATGCACAATCAATTTTCAATAATAGAAAATGTTTTTTTTTTATATGAAATAATAGAAAATGTTTAAATCTTCATTAACTTGAAAAATAAAAGCTAGCTTCATAAAATTTGGTACATCACGATCACACAATTTAAGGCCATGTTTGAGCCACATTATTGTTTTCATTCTCATTTTTTTATTCATTTTTAACTACACATTTTTCAATAAAATAATATTTTCCATCATATCAATAATATTTCCTTATTTTTCAACCACATATTTCTCATCACATCAACAGTAAAAATGCATTTTTTTTTTCCAAAAATGTTCACCAAACGGAGCTAAATGAGAATTGAATTATTTTAGTTCACTATAATGAAAGATAAAATACAATTTACTTCAAGACAATGGGCTAATATAACCCATGAAAAATGTTAGTGTATGACATACACATTATGAATAAATTTAAGCATGCCCTCTATCTACGATTACACACTAATAACAACATTGCATTTTTAATAAAATAATAATCATTTTTTTAATATTTGCACTTATTTCAAGAATTTTTATAGAAGACGACACAAAGTGGCACGTTCAACTTGTGTTATGTAAAAGTCGATAGTTACTTGTCTACCCACATAATAATTAATAAAAGCAACTCTTTACACTTCCAATCCTATTCTACTAAAATCTCACAATGCAATAGCGTAAAATGAAGACCGGAATTTTCTTTCCATTTAAAATAAATTCTATACAACAAAAAATTCTTACTTACAAGAATACATACAGCACTACAATTCCTTGTGTACTCAAATCATGACATCTAGTTTCCATTCTTTTTCTATTTATTTTCCCATTTTACCCTTACCACAAAAACAGAAATNCAGCACTACAATTCCTTGTGTACTCGAATCATGACATCTAGTTTCCTTTCTTTTTCTTTTTATTTTCCCATTTTACCCTTACCACAAAAACAGAGTTTCAAATTTCAATCAAGGACAAAATCGAAAAGGAACGACGTCGCTGCACGCAAAATCATCCGAATTTGCAGTAGCGTCCTCTGGCCAGGAGCCCCGCAGCAATTTGAGGAGCATTTGCGCTTTACGCTTTGCTCTCTATGTACAATCACTCTGAACAAGCAATAGCAGTTTAGTCAACAAGCCGGTGGCCAAGGTTTCACGCTGAGTCAGTTCAGAGGCGGAGCAGAGTGAAAGCAATGCTCCAGCGGCATACTCAGTTGCACGGTCTGAGATTTTTAGAATGATCTTTACCAAAATAGGTACTACTGTGAACGAGTGGGCAGCGAAATCCGCGCTACCAGAAGGAATCCGACAGAGCAATTCGACTGAAGCAAGTGCTCTCTTGGAATCACATTTTTCGAATTCCGCCAAGCGGTCAATCAGCGACTCCACAGCTCCCGCCGTCAGCGCTTTGTGCCGGTGCTGCTTCACCAAGCACAAAGCGAACAACGCCTTGATTCCAATTTTCAATGCCCTTGGATATGCTAATGGAAAGCTCAAAATTCCGACGATACCTTTGAATATTTTGTGAGCATTACTGATTTGTGCACGGAGATCAAGGTGTTGGACAAAATAATAGTAAAGTGCAGAAAAACTTATCAACAAATCGAGTCTCGTGACAGCACGATGTCCTAAAGCGAAATTGCACGTCGATAACTGTTGCGACCTCTGT